TCTTGCAGCAGAATCATTAAAATCACACCTTGGACCTGACTGAGGGGAGAAGCCATCATGCGGTTACTGCTCCTGCCAAATTCACCAATGCTGTCACAGGGCAGCCAGGCTGCCCTAGTGGGGAGGAAGTGAAGCCCCTGTATGGAGCAGGGTCCTTCTAGTGGAGCAAACTACTGCCAGCTGCCTCTGACCCAGGCCCTCAGTCACTAGCCCTGGCTCACAGTCTGGCCTTTCAGCATGCCCTCAGACACATGGTCAGTGTGGCAGAGCCATGGTGTACTTCCACCAGAGGTGGACAGGTGTTGAACCTCAGCTGTCAGGGAGCTGAGGCTTAGTCAGTGGGCAGAGATTGGAAATACACACTGCAGGGGAGAGAATGGGAAAAAGCCAGACAGTGAGTTCAGTCTCCTCCTCTTTCACAGCTGGCTGCCACAACCCATAGGAGACAACAGCCTTCAAGGGAAGGTATCCAGTGCCCTTCTTTGACAGCTGTTCATTGCTGCCGCTGCACTCCGTGATGCACACACGTGCTGGGCTGTGCACATCACTGCTTAGAGCTCCAGGGCATACTTCCTGCTGCAGTCCAGTGCCAGCCCAAGGCACTGAAGCTGAGCATGGAAAGGACTGGCACTGCCCTGTCTGGTGTGGACCAGCTGCCCTAAGAGTGATGAGCCTCATCTTGCCCATGGGAGCACTGAGGCCCCTGTGCTGCCGTGGAAATGGGCACTGCTCTTGGGTGCACAGACATAGGTGCTGCTGAGTAGGGTTATCATCTCCCTGCTTTGTGCCACGGAAGGGAGACCTGCAGCTGTCTTCTTGCCCTTCTTGCCTTAGACGCACATACTCTTCCTTGTTTTAAACTCTTTAGTGGAAGTTCATCAGCTCTGTGACTCAGATCAGGATGGATGGCCAGCAGCTCTCTTCCCTTTGTTTAGGACAAAACCAATAGACTCCTCCTCACTCCATCCGTGGCAAGCTCCCCCCTTGTCATGCTCATGTCCATGTGCACCAGAAAGAAGAAACTCAGCAGCACGGCTGGCAGGGATGTCCATGCTCTGCTTTATTTGCACCCACACCCCTGTCACTACCCAAGCTCAACTGTTAGAAAGGTTTAACTTGCCTCCTTACCTTGCAACAAAAATCAGGCCTGTAGATGTGCCCTCTCCCACGGGGTAGGAGCACTCAACAGCCAGCTCCATGGCAATGGGGTAGATGGCAAAACCGAAGAACCCAAACAGCGAGCTGGCTATGGCCAGGGTTATGGCCTGGTGTCTGAACCGAGATGCCTGCAGGTGGAGAAAGAGTGCCAAAGCCTTTACCAGAACTGCTGCAAAGAAAGTCTCTGAACCTGTACTTCACTATCATCTGAGGGAAGTCCCAGTGGTTCTCTGCTTTCACCAGTACCTTGCTCATCCTTTTATTGAAATACCTCTTTTACCTGAAGCCCTCTAGAGTCAACAAATGGCTACAGGAGATGTATCTGTTGAGTTTAAGCAATGGGAGAGAGAGATCAGCAGAATTATCCAGAAAACAGGGTTGTGGTCCTATTACTGTGACTTGATTCCCTGGTCAGCAGCTTACCAGAAATGCCCTCAGCTTATCTCCAGTATGAAGGGAAACACACACCTTCCTCCTGGTACAAGCTAATGTGTCTAAAGTGACATTTGGAGTAGGTTACATATGAAAACTCATCTGGTTGCTGCAGCTCAATCTAGGCTGAAAACTATTATGTATCAACACTGTCAGAATCACAGAATCACAGAATCACAGAATCGTTTAGGTTGGAAGGGACCTCTGGAGATCATCTAGTCCAACCGCCCTGTTCAAGCAGGGTCACCTAGAGCATATTGCCCAGGATCACATCCAGACGGGTTTTCAATATCTCCAGGGAAGGAGACTCCACCACCTCTCTGGGCAACCTGTTCCAATGCTCTGTCACCCTCACAGTCAAGAAGTTTTTTCTCAGGTTCAGATGGAACTTCCTGTGGTTCAGTTTCTGCCCATTGCCTCTTGTCCTGTTGCTGGGCACCACGGAGAA